TCTACCACGAGAGTTAAACTGGTGGCTCTGGGGAAGAAGGAGGGTGACCCCAACCTAGCTTCAGTTGACTGCCCTCTTTCAACTTGTCCCTGCTCCTCCCACCCTTCTCCCTCCACACACACATTTAATACAGCTTCTAACATGTACTGATAACATTATTACCTTCTCTTCAGTGAAATTCTGAGAATGCCCTTGTTATTTAAAAAGTTGATAAATTCTGTCCTTTTGCAGTCATAGTGTTGTATAGTATCTTATTTAGAGTTGTAGGTATTTATCTGTTATAGAAGAACTGCCGTATACACCCTTAAGTCACGGCAGGCAATATTCCAAATTAGAACATCTACTCCAGAAGCTTAAAGTTCCCCCAAATAAATCTTATCATACCATCACAATGTTGCCAAGGTCCCCAGAAATCTTCTCTGGGGAAGGCTGGCACCCTGTATCCTAGCAAATCAACAATGTGGCCTTCCTGCCTCTGACTTTAGGCCTCATTTGATGACTTGCAGGTTCCCAAAAGGCCTCACCCCTGATATTAAGCTAAAGACCACAGACAACAAGGTCTTCTTGAGTCTATAGTCTCGTACCTTCATTCTGCTCTAAATAATTAGCTGTGTGTGTGTGTGTGGTGTGTGTGTGGGGGGGTGGCGGGGGTGTACCTATGCCCTTTGAAGTGCCATCAGGTGACCTGGGGACCCAGGAAGGTTGACCTGAACATGGGAGTCTGCCCCACATATCCCTTTCACAGACGTCCCCTTCTCAATACTTCTGACTGTATTGGAAAGCCTGGCAAAAATGGCTCTACCATTACCTTGGTAAATGGCCTTGAGCAAGACGCTCCACTTTTCTGGGCCTCAGTTTCCTTCACAGATATAGACTAGGGCAATTAGACCAAGTATGAATAGGAAAGGATGAGGTGCTGGGAAGGAATCTCTGTTACCCTCTTCCTCCGCCTTGCTTTCTCTAGTGGTCAGATAGATTTCTACCCCCAACTCCTACTTGGGAGACTCACAGAAGGATGTTTAGGGATTTCTGTGTTTTCCATTCTTATTTCTAAGGCCTTGAAGGGCCCAAATTTGGGGACCCTGTACTAGGTACATTATTCTCCACCCTCCACTGTCCTGCCTTTTGTCTTGGAAGCCAACTTCTACAAACTATATAATGAGGGCATATTCACCCTCTGGTTTTGATTGGGTTTGGCCAGTGGGAGACAATGGCAAGAAACTGGAGGACTGGAGGAGAAAAAAGTGGAAGTCATACTCTCCCAGTGCCTCCCTGTGTTTCTGGCAGTGGTGGCATTGCGTGGTTGCAACGAAAGTTGGGCAGCCTCTCTCCCTCACTTCCTGCGGTCACTGGTTTTCATCACAAAGTTCCCTCCCTTTCTCTGCTCTAGTCCAGGAGTGCTAGAAAGGCTTTTTGCTGTTGCCAGTCCCTAGATTAGTTCCCTCTGCCCTGCACACACCCCCGTGAATAGTTCTTCCAGTAAACCATTTTCAGTAGACCCTTGGAATGTGCCTTCTCTTTCCTGCCATATCTAACCGATACAGACTCTTGCTATTTTTCTTCCAACTTTCAGAATTAGGGTTCTAACTGCTCCCAGCTGTGGAAAGGTTCATCTGAAAGACCTAGAGTTTTGAAGGGACAAAGCAAGGGTCTCTTTTCTGTTGCTGGGCACTTGTCTCCAGCTGCATACATCTTCTCTGATCCTTGGTGCGAATGATTAAGGGGAAAGTCATCTAATGCTACTGGGTGACATATTTCACCAAACAAACACTCTTCTATTGCTCACTATAATTATGTGAATTGTATATAAGCTGCGTTCCTCTCACAGTCTATTTCATTTTTGGGTGGCAGACTTCCAAATTCCCTCTCCTTTATTCATGTATAACACATGAACGATTCACAAGTGGGAAAGTCAACAGGGCCCCTTCCGCTTCAGTCCCCATCTGTAAAAATGGTTTATCAACCTCATGTTGAGGTTGAGAGTTGGTATAATATCAACCTCAGATTGAGGGTTGGTGTGAGGACTAAATGAGTACCAGCTGTAAATGCTTAGAGCAGCAGGTGCAAAGTGCTAGCTCATACTATGAGTATTTGCTCATCTGATTCATCTCAGCCCCCTTTCCTACAATTTATATGTAGGAAGGCGGAAAAGGGGACTTGGATAAGAATTTCTAAGTGCTCCCTCCAGCTTCCGGGGCTTTCCTCAGCACACCTTCCTCTCTCAACACCCACTTCTGAGTAGATTTCCTTTTCTGCAATCTTTTCATCCCAGGAAGTTCCAGGAAGTGCAGGAAGGGCAAGTTCTGATTCTTATGTTTTCTGCTCTTACTTCTAAACCAGTGATTGTCAAATAGAGGCCTAGTGAGCCCCACTGACCACAGAAAGTGGGTTTTGCTCTAGGTTATATCTTTGTTATTGCTCTTATCTGTTTAAGTTTCAAGATTCTCTTTGAAAAAAGGTTTCCAAGACTTTAAAGAGTTGAAAATCCCTCTTCTGATGAAATACAGAAACCTCAGACTTTAAAACTTTCAGTCCTAACCCTCTTTGGCACCACTGCCAACAACCTTTTCTCTATTCCATTCAAATAGTTTGTATTCTTTTCCATTTCTGATGCTCTGAAACACATATTCAAACAAGCAAGTCTTTGTGTATTTATCTGGGGTGTCTTTCTCAGGCACTCAGCATGTTCAGTAGACATTATCTCCTTAATTTCTAGGCCCATGGGAAAGATAACTACAACACTGTTTAACAATAGAGGCATTTGAAAGTACCAAACTTTACTGGTACCGGATCCAGCCGCTGCAGTACTTCCAACCCATGGAATCCAACGCTACTAGAGGACTGTCCATTCTGGTCCCAGAGGCTGCTAGGAGTGAGAAAAGTTGGACAGCAGAAGCTGTACAGGGACTGAGTACCAGGGAGGAGTACCCAGCAACTGGAATTGGCTGGGTCATGGGGAGGAGAGTCAGCAAGGTACTAACACTCCAATTGGTTAACACATAATTCTTTACGCAGCTTAAGACTTTGGGAAGACAGAATATGAACACATGAAGGTAATAAAAACTCCAACCTCTGGACCACTTCCTGGAATGCTCCTAACCCAGACTTCCACAGGGCTTCCTCCCATACTTCATTTAGGTCTTTGGCTCAAATGTTACCTCTTTAGAACTGCCTTAAGACTGGGGCAAGAGGAGCTCCAGTCTAGGGCTCTGAGCACCTGATTCTCTTTCGTCCATGCTCCTTTACATAGAGCAAGAAGCCCACAGGCCAACGGGATGTACTCACTGAAAGGTCTTGCCCCTCTCCCGTTTTTATAGCATACTGTGAGTACCTGGGACCCTAGAACCTAGTGCCCCAATAGCAACAGGTCACCAGCTACAGGCTACATCAGCCTTTCCCAAGGTCTGTCCTCCTGAGGAGCAAGGGGTGGTTAAGGGGAGGCTATTTGTAGGAGGTGTGGACAAAACTTTGATGTGCAGATGTATTTGTTATAGGTGTGGGCACAAGGCCATTTGAAGTATGGGACAGTGTTGGGGTGCCAAGAGAAGGAAGGCTGAGGGCCAAGGACATGTTCCCCCTCCAAAGCACTGCATTCAAGGGCATATCTCGGAAGGGTCCAAGAATCCTAAACTTAAATGTGGCTTTCCAGATTATGATGAAGGTATACATGTCAAGATAAAAAGATAGGAATTTTGCATTACAGTTTAATTTGTAGTTTTAAAATATGTAGACATGGTATGTGGGCCTCCGTTTGTACTACTGACTCAATTCTAGCAAATATTAAAGGTAGACCTGTGCCTGATCTTCGTGTATAAAATAGCACCTCCTCTGCCACTCTATTCTTACCCTAGTCTACATTTCTTCATAACATCGGTCACCATCTGATTTACATTTACTTATGTATCATCTCTTTACCCCTACTGGAATGTAAGTTCCACATCCCTAGAGTCTATATTTTGTTTACTGCCTTATCCTTATACCTAAACAAGTGCCTGGCATGACACCACTCAGTAAAACTTGTATAAGTAACAAATCTAAGTTCAAAGCCCTTTACAGGTGAAGGGGACTAACCTGGCAGACACAAAGGAAAAATATTACCGTGACAACCCTCTGAGGAGTACCTTCTCCCCTTAAAATAAATCACTCAAAACAGTGGTGCTGCAAAGGTAACTAGAGAAAATCCATTAACACCTTAGTGCCCATGAACACCAGGTGAGTTGTTCAGGCTACCTGTGACAGGGATATGTGAGTCAGCGTGGAGAGTTCTGAGTGGGCTGAAGAGTCGGATGTGGGGGATCTGGGCTGCCGGGAACCCCGAATCTTGGAATCGCCCTAACAACCTTATGAAGGCGGCCAGATGTGGGTCCTGAGGAAACTGATTCCACGGCAACAGCCCGCCAACCCAGCACACCCCACAGTAGAGAAGGGGCTTCTGATCCATGAGTAGGGCCCCTCAAATGATGTTCCCCTTTAGATGGTCACGGACATCAGCAGGGGTGGGTGCATCTGATCCTGTGGGGTCTTGGTGGTCGCAGACCACGCGTCCCTCTTCTCTCCCACCTGCATCTAATTCACAACGTCTCATCGCTTTGCGGGAGCCCAGGAACTGCCCTAAAACAGCAGAAATCCGGGTCGTCTATTCCAACGGACTCCTCTTCCGTTGGATACGGGGGCCGTGACAGGCCAAACAACCTCCGCGAGGCCCCCGCAGCGACTGCTCAGCGGGCGCTCCATTCCTTTCCTTGGGGATGGAGCTCCAGGGACCGGACTGTACACCTCGCCTCCTGGGGCCTGAGGCGGGAACCCGGCTTGCGCAGCTCTGAGGCCTCGGCGGACCGCGAAAGGATGGCTCACCACCCGGCCACGGCCAGCCCCGGCAGCAAGCTCAGCCCCTCCCGCTCCTGGGCCCAGGCGCGGCCGGAGGGGCGGGGCAGGGGGTGGGGGGACGGGGCCGGCCACGGAGGGCGGGGGCTCGGGGGCGGGGGCTCGGGGGCGGGGCCACGTGGCTCCTCCTTGCGGGCGGAGGCAGGCGGTGCCGCGGCGCCGGGACCCGACTCATCCGGTACTTGCGTGTGGTGGTGAGCGCAGCGCCGAGGATGGGGAGGTGCGGCCGCGGCTCCGGGCCGCTGCCGTCGCTGCTGCTGCTGCTACTGTTGCTGCTCGCGGTTCCCGGCGCTGGCGCGGCCCCGCGCTCGGCGCTCTACTCGCCTTCCGACCCGCTGACGCTGCTGCAGGCGGACACGGTGCGCGGCGCGGTGCTGGGCTCTCGCGGCGCTTGGGCCGTGGAGTTCTTCGCCTCCTGGTGCGGCCACTGCATCGCCTTCGCCCCGACGTGGAAGGCGCTGGCCGAAGACGTCAAAGGTGAGAAGCGGCGGCGGCCCGCTACCCCGTGCCCCGCCGCCCCGACACCTCCACCTGCCCCGCGGGCAGCCCCTTACTGCGGGAGCACGTCCCTCTTTCAGTCACCTCCGCCCACCTCTTCCTCTCCGCGCATCCCGCGACCCCCACCTTCATGTTTCTCATCTCCATTTTTGGCTCCCGCTCCCTTGCCTTTTCCCCTTGGCCCTCATCCTGAGCTTCTCTCCCCTCTCCGCGGCCTGGTCTGCCAGCCCTGCCCTGCTTGCCCGGTTCATCCCCCGCCAGGTTACTGCCTCCTCCCCAGAGAGGGGTCTCCTTTGTTCCTTCCTCCGCATGGTCCGCTGACACCTTACGGCTTCCTGGTCGAGCCTTGTGGCAGTCCTCTTCCTCTCGTCCAGGGACCCATGTCGCTTTCCTGCCAGGTTCCTTAGCTGCTGTGGGTCAGTGCTGGGGAGAAAAGGGAACGGGCATTCATTTTGCCTCCCCACCACCTTTCTCCACTCCCTCGACTGGTTGACCGAAGTGATACATAGACTTCCTTTCTCATTTTTGTCTTTGTTGGGGGTATCTCTGTTCTGGGCCTCTCCTGACCTGCCGCCTCCAGCTCCTTAGCTTCCGGGCCACATCCTTCTCTCTCTTCCCCCGCCCAGACCCTAATGTTTTAACCCCATGCACCCAGAGGCCTTTGGTGTGTGTTTGGCTCTTGCTCCGTGTTCCCAATCACAGGTTGGGGCATCAAAACTATTTCCTGGATTCCAAGACATCAGCTGTGAGACACACTGTTCATTTTGTGACAGCCCAAGAGGTAGAAGGATAGGAAAAAACCACTACATGTATAGAGATTTTAAGGGGAACTCTATTACAGAAATGCTAAAATTTTGAAACACTTAAGACTTAGAGTCGAGGAAATATGGTAATAATAGTAATATTTACGGAGCACCTGTCATTTCAGGCACCTTACTAAGTACTGGGCATACATTGTCTCATAGTTTCCTTTCCACAATTTAAAGATTCCTGTGTTGTCACACATCCATCTAACCCAGGCAGTGGGCGTTTGGCAGGCAGGAGTGGTGTAGTGATAGTGATTTGTTCTTGACTTGCTGCCTCTGAATGGAGCTACTTCCTGATTCTGGTGCTAGGTCGCTAGCACGGGCTCCTGCCCTGAAATGGTCACTGAATGAGAACTGTGGGCATCTTTGGAAATAGGCCTCTTTCTAGAGAAAGCGGAACTGGAACCATTGTTCCCCTTCTCTGCTGTTGGTGTTTCTTGATAAATTCAACTCTTTGTGGTAGGATAATGCCTTTGTAGATGTTAGTTTTCAGACTCACCCTCCTTCTTTTCCTGAGCAGCTTGCAGATTGGTTTCTGAAGTGGCTAGATGGAACCATGTGTACGTCTTTTAGCCATATGGTCCTGGAAAATTATTTTTAAATGAAACTTATAAGCTGTTTTGACCTCCAGTTTACACTTGCCCACATACCCACTGGTCCCATTAGCTGAACCAGCCTTTCTGAGCAGTGCTTCACACCATTTCAACACATTTGGTCAGGGGAGGAGTGATGTCAACACATCTGGTCAGGGGAGGAGGAAGAAAGAACACGGATCATGGAACTGGAACACCTAAGAGAAGGTAAATCTCAGGGGACATTGTGGGCATGAACATCATAAAAATTCCCTGATCATGTTCCACTTTGAGGCTACAAGAGGTGTTCAATGGCTGCAGATGGACTTCGTCTTGAATTTCTTCCTTCTTGAGAGTGCTGGAGGGAAAGATTAGCTTCCAGCTGACTCACATGTTTAGCCTCTTGCAATGCAGAGTTTTAGTTTTCCCATGAGTTGCATATCTAGATACTGACCCAGTCTGCTCCTGGATGAGGGTTACCACTTCCAAACGGTATTCCCCAGTGCATGGAGCCTTTCTTTAAAATAAGAAAGCGAAATCAGAATTTAACCTCTGAAAAGGAAATGAAAGGATCAAAGTCTGTGGGGATGATCCAGGGTAAATGGGAGGTGGGAGATTTCATTGGAAGCTGGAGGTCTCCTGTGAGCCGTTGGTGTGTCAGCCCTTGAGCCAGATCGTGTTGGGAGGGCACTGGCAGAATCTGCTGTCAGCCTGCAATGAAGAATGTCCTCCACTCTAACCCAAAGGGGTATTCCCTGGTAAGGCCCTGCTGAGAAGCTCGGATTGGTCTCACTTCATCTCTGTCCTGAGGTTTCTTGAGAAAGATTGGTTGTGGGCCCACAGAGGGCTGCTCTCATCCCACCGTGGGCTGTGTGAGTATGGCCCATGCTCTCTGCTGAGAACACCTGTATCTTGAGGCGGAAACAGAGACAGAGTGAAGGTCACGGGGAGAGAGAAGAATTTTGCAGCCATACTTGGCTGGCTTCAGGCATTTAGTCTGACTGAATAGGGTTCATTTCTTCAGTGACTAGGGCAATAGATTCTCTAGGGCAGTGCTGCCCTGGGGCAGAGCATGTGTTTCTGAGCACCTGGTTCACCCCCTTTCTATTACAGAGCAGCTCCCACCATATGTTTGGGAAATTGGTAGTATCCAATTTAGGCCTTCATTGCTATTCACTGGCTAATCAATCAGCAAATATTTGTTGAGTGATAAGCATTGTTTGCATTGCAGTTGGGGAAATGAACTACTCACAGAAGGAAAATTGGCAATTGTTACAAAGCTGTGTTTGAAAAAGGCCAAAGGAGTGGTTCAGCCATTTCTTGTAGGAACTCAGGGGAGGAAAGTCACAGAGGGCTAATCTGATCACCAAAGGCCTTCATGCCAGTAGTTATTTATTACACGCTTGCCTTATGCCAGCAGTTTGCTAAGGGCCTTCACAGGCCATTATTATGACAATCCTTACCCCGGAAAATATCTGAGCTATGGATATTGTCTTCCTCTTTTTTTAAAACAGATAAGTAACTTGCCAGGTTTACACAGATGCTGGAGGAGGCCATTGACTCCAGCTCTTTTTGGCTCTCTGGAGCCTGGGCAGGTAGAGAGGTGGGTGGAGGAGGGAAGGATACTTCAGGTGGAAAAACAGTGTGTGCCAAGCTATGAAGGTGAGGTTCGTAAGGTGTGTGTTTGAGTGACAGTGAGCAGTGTTGGTTTTGTCCCCCTTCTCTTCCAGGGCACAGGCCACAGGCCACATCTGCTATGTGTACCTGTGATTCCCAGCACCAGAGCTTGGTACAGAGTAGGAGCCCACTGCAAGTTCATGGTGGCCAGTGGCCTGAGCCTCACAGGATTCCAAATGACAGTGTGAGTGTAGAACCTTCTGCTGGTGCCGTGGATCATCTTGACTCAGACTGGGGGTGTCAGCCAGGTGTGAGGGGTAGGGAAGGCATTTTGTCCATCCAGTGATGTCACTGCCCAGAAACTGTCAGCAAGGAGGAAGGAAGGCATGAGTTGGTGACCGCATAGTGCTGACTAGCTGGACAGGGCATAAACCAACTCTGTGTCAGGAGAACTCCTGAAGACTTCGGTGTAGAGTCCAGAGCTGAGGGTTGGTAGCTTCTGGTCACTAGACCACCAGGTCTCGCTGGCTCTTTGTGGTTTGGGTACATCTGTGCCTCTGCCTTCATGGAAGCCCAGACCCACTTAACACTCGGAGGCTGCATATTTCTTGTTAAGAGTTGTTTGCCATCCAGCACCTGAATGGCTGTCAGAGCTGGAAGGGGCATTAGAGATCATTCATCCTGGCCCTTGCTGATCCAGGAGGAAGCAGAGGCCCAGAGAGACATGTGGAGCTCACGGTGCTGCAGCCAGTTAAACTCCAAGCAAGGCTTCCTACTCCACCCAGTGCCTTCCCTGAGCTTGTGAGTGGGGCAGGGGATGCTGCCCTTGACTCCAGACCAAGCCCCCGGTGGGGACTCAGCAGAATCCCCACAACACCCTCACCACAGGGCATCCTCTCACCCATCACTCCAAAATTTACAGCTGTCCAGCTTCTCTTGCCTTGCCACCCTTCCCCTCTCCATTAGTCCATTTATTCTGTTGTTGGTACAAAAATTACCCTGTTCAGAGCAATAATTGCACCAGGAAAAGGTTTTCTCCCCACTGGTAGAGCTGGACTGATACTAGTGATCATTTTGGTGTTAGGCATTTGAGTCACCTGACACTTCAGAAAGTCTCTGTCACTCAACTCTGCTTTGCTTTGACAGTAAAGCTTAAATGCAGCTTTGCTTTAACAATGGAGCACTCAGATAAGGACCTTCTCTATTCCATCTCCTGTTACTTGTCAAAAGACAAAATTACACCACATTAAAAAATCTTAACTGGCTTTTATTGTGATTCTAGAATCAGGCAACAGCACATTCTCTCTTACAAAATGAGTATTCTGATGAGCTGAGCAGAAGAGTTTGGCTTTATAGACAGAAAAAGGCTGAAGAAAGCAGAAACAGATCAAAAATCAGATGGGTTATTTCGGTCGCTTTTAAAGGTTAAAGCAGAGGAGACTTCCTTATGTTGGCTGAAACTGGCTTGTTTGGAGATTTGGCTGTTATCTCACTCTCTCCTGATTTCTTGAAAGGTCAGATCAACAGCTTAGTTTTGGCTTGGTGGCGTGGGACTTCAGCTTGAGGGACTCCATCGTGGTTTGGTCTCGGGCCTTGTGCAGGAACTCAGTCCCAACCAATGGCCTCCTAGAAATATTTAACAATTCTCCCCTTTTGGTCAGGTTCTCACCTAGGTGAGAGTGTTACTAAAACAGGGCATCAGCACTACTCTCAGTAATCATCATTTTGGGTTTTCAGTCTTAACACATCATTTATAGGTTAAGGTACGCTCATTATCACGTGTTACTTGGAGTTTTGATCATTCACTCTGGAGAGAGACCATTTAGCATTCGGCAGATGGCTGCATAAAGATGTTTAAGACTTTTTGAGAGGATATAGTATAACAGGGAAACTACTATAATGACTCTCCCCAGGATGATACTGAGAGTTTACAATATGCCGCCTAGCCATGGACCCATGAAGCAAACCAGCTAAAATCGAACAG